ACTGTATGATCGTTCACATTAAATAGGACAAATTTCAGTTTAGTTTAGGCTTGTTTCCAAATGATTTCAGCTTAGGTTGGATTTGACCTCCATACTGACAATGAAATGAGGCTTTCTTTTCAGAGATTTTTACATTTTATTATGAGATTTGTAACCTGAAATAGTTCTGCTTATGATTAGGCATGCTTGGTTATTTTTCTGAACCTTAGTCATTTCAAATGAGAAGTTAGACTAATTATTTTTGAATAGTTTGAATTCTAAATCTAAATGTTCAATTCTGTGATATAAGAAGTACAAAAATTAATAATTTTATAGTACCTCAGTTTAACAATTCCTTACTTTTGAGCTCTCAATGTTCTTCAATGGTATTAATTATAATTTATATCTAAAGATTCAATATACAGGTCAAGAAGAGTTTCCAAGTGGTCTTTGACAGAGTTGAAATAAAACTAGGTTTCAAATTCATGAAGGCAGATTAATTCTTGGTTACAGAATGCAGTGGAATGTAAGATTCCTGGGGTCATAATTAAAAATTCAACTTTGTGAAACATTGTGTGGGTTGCATGATTTCTTTTAAAAACCCAGAAGAGCAAATTATCCACAGTTAGTCAGGCTTAAACCAAGGTAGCCAAAAGGGAATCTACCAAACCCCATTCAGTTTCAGATCCTGAATCTTGGAAAAATAATTTCTAAATCTAACAATGCAGGGCTCTCCATTGAGGAAAGACTAAAGTTGGTCTCCTACTAAACAGAAGGTATGCTTGGATATTAAACTATGGGTGGAGATCAAGATATATTATGCACAGGTACAAATTTCCTATGATGAATGTGATCATTGTGTATATCTAAAATGTACCAATAAAGTCAATTTTAAAAAAAGCTGTGACATGCTGAAGACTAAAACTAGACCCATGTCTATCACAATGCACTAAACTAAAGTCAAAATGAATCAAAGGTCTAAATATTAAAACAGAAACACTAAATCTACTGGAAGAGAAAATAGGTAGAAATGTTGAAGACATAGGGGTAGGCATAGCCTTCACGAACAAAACCCAAACTGCACGGGAAATGCTTTAAAGAATTGACAACTGAGATCTCATCTTATTGAAAAGTTTTTGCACATCAAAAGAAATCACCAACTATGAATTAGGAAAAAATTTTAGTCCTCAGACAAAGGACTTCTATCCAGAATATATAAAGAAGTAAAAAATTTCAGCCCCCCCCAAATTCAAAGACCCAATCCAAAAATGGGCATCTGAGATAAATACACCCTTCTCATATGAAGAAATACAAATGGCAGATAAATACATGAAAAAATGTTCATCATCATTAGTCATTTGAGAAATGAAAATTAAAACAACACTGAAATTGCTTCTCACCCCAGACAGAATGGCTGTCATCAAGAAATGAACAAATAACAAATGCTGGAGAGGCTGTGGGGAAAAAGGAACCCTTCTACACTGTTGCTGGGAGTGTAGACTGGTACAACCACTATGGAAATCAGTGTGGAGATTCCTAAAAAAATTAGGATTACTGTTCCCATTTGACCCAGCTATTCTCCTTCCAGGCATTTTTCCAGAAGAATGTAAAACATCATACCACAGGGATGTATGTGCACCCATGTTTATAGCAGCACAATTTGTGATGGCTAAATCTTGGAAACACCCCAAATGCTCAACAAGTGAGGAATGGATAAAAGCGGTGTGGTATTTTTATACAATGGAGTATTACTCAGCTATAAAGAAAAATAAACTTGAGGCTTTCATAGATTAATGGATGCAACTAGAGACCATACTCATCAGTGAAATAAATCAGACCCACATATGTAAACACTGTGTTATCTCTCTAGTGTAAGAAACTAAAAGAGTAAATAAAATGCAAAAGGCACTGTAGGTACTGTGAAAGAAAGAAACTGCTCTAAAGGAAAGAACAACTGGGATGAAGGAAAGGAGAAAAAGAAAGAAGGAAGGGAAATATACATATATATATATATACAAGATAGCTAAGATATAATTCCTAATTGTTGGATCAGTTTTGCATGCCTATATTTGATAATCTGAACAACTACTTTGAAGATAACAATATGCAATATAACAACCATTGTTAATTTCCTCTCACCTTGTTTTGAAATTTCATATTTCTTTATTTTCTTTAAAATAAAAAAATAAAAAAGCCATGGGTGGAGAAATTAAATGAAAATAACAGATGCGGTATAGTAGGCCAGAGTTAACAAACTAGCCTACATTCTTTCTGGAGATTTGTTTTATATGTCTTGTATCTGTATCTTAAAAAGAAAAAAAATATTTGATTATCATTGGGCATGGAATCCTCTTCAATTTTCTGTTTCTCTCATGTTTTCTATGGTCTTGCCCTTGTCATTTTTCTCATTTAATGTCCTTGATAGGCTCTGATGGCATTTACATTGGCCACACCTGCCTGAATGCTATACTGTGGAAGCAAATTATAAGAAGTGGAGGGGTTGGGGATTTAGCTCAGTGGCAAAGCGCCTGCTTGGCAAGTGCAAGGTCGTGAGTTCGGTTCCTGGTACTGGAGGAAAAAAACCAAAAAAAAAGTGGAAAGGTTATGGTCGAGAGAGAGAAAGGCTACATTATGAACTTAGGAATTGTTGCTGCCATTCTCTTGAGCGGCTAGAGGACATCCAGCTACCTCTAGTTACCTTTTATTAATTTCCTCAAATAGAATTAATTGAGTTCCTACTATATGTCATGTAGGCTCTGGGGATATAGTCAGAAACAAGACATGGTAAACATGTATCTTGGAGGAGACAGACTTCAAATAATTAAACATGCAATTGTGAAGACTGATACAAATTATCACGGAAAAGAATAGGCTGAAAGAGAAACGTGAGGCCCCGCTTTATTGTGTTAGTCAGGTTTTCCTTGCTATGACCAAATTTGAGAAGATGAATTTAAAGAAGGAAAGGTTTATTCTGGCTCGTGTTTGCAATGGTGTTAGTCCATTGTCACTTGGGTCTGTTGCTTCTGGGCCTGGAAGGAGGCAGGGGCATCACGGCAGGAGGGCATGGCAGAGGAAGGCTGCTTGCCTCATAGCAGCTGGGAAGCAGAGGGAAAGTGGCTAGGGACAAGACATAGTCTTCAAAGTCATACCTACAGTGATCTGTTTCCTCCAGTGGGGCCCCACCTCCTAAAAGTGCATTCAGCTAATGAACTCATTAGTGGATTAATCCACTTGATGAGTTTAGAGACTTCATGAGCCAGTCAGTTCCTTGTAGCTGGTGGTAAAAGGCTTCAATACAAGGAGACTTTTTGGAGACATGTAGGATCCCAACCATAGCGCTGAATTAGAGAGGCCTGACTGGGTCTCTCTGAGGAGGTAACATTGCTAGAGCTGAAGGCTGGGAAGAAACTAAGCAGGTAATCAGAGAAAAGAAGCAGGTAATCAGTAAGTAGGAAAGCCTGGGGGCAGTATGGACAGGTTTATTTTAGAACAAGACAGACCAGTGTGGTTGGAATGTTTGAAGGAGATAAGTGAAGCGATGACTGAAGTGAGGTCATGCTGGACTTTGCAGGCTGTTGAAGGGAGATTGGATACTCTTTTAAATGGCAATGGGATACCCCGGAGGGTATTTCAAATGAGATCAGGTGCTTTCAGGGTAGTACAGCCAGAGGCAATGGAGGGTATTTCAAGCAAAGTCAGATTAGAGTTTTTAAGGGATCACTGTGTGGAGAATGAACTGAAGGGGTACAAAGTGAAGCTACTGCTACCATAGCAGCGGGAGGCTAGACTTGTGTTAAGATCCTGGCAATGGGCATATTGGATGTGCATATCTTAGAAGAATCTTACTGGGTAAGATATGGATGTGAGTAGAAACCACTCTAAAACAAGGATTTTCAATGTTATTAAAGCTTTGAAGCAAGACTTTCTTGCCCAACATCCTGTAGAAATTATACATTGGCGTTCATCTCTATATCCTTAAAACTTGTGGGAAATTTATATAATTCATGGTATCTTAAAATCATGTTAAAAAGTCATAGACATTTTATATTTTCTCCACTATTTAGGAAAGTTTGGTTACTGCAAAGGCCACGAAGTATGAGTGTTTCAGCTTACTAGACGTAAAACAAAATTTTTTGAAAAGTGGCTGTTGTTACTTACAGAGCCATTTGACGATTCTGTTTGCCCTGTGGGTGATGTGTTCGGAAAAAAGATGTCAGTTCAGTTCAGTACTATTGCAAGTTGAATTCTCAGGAAGTAAATGTTGAAACAAATGGTTGTCAGGGACCCACATGTGTGGAAAGAAAGAGAAGGCAAGATTGGCAGATGAAGAAGTCAACTTCATTGCAGTTCCAGCAATGTCTAGACTAAGCCAGCAGGAAATTCTGTAGCAAATATTTGAAACCAGAGTGTCCTACACTGTATCCCAGTTGCTTCATACCCTGCTTTGCTCAGTCCCTGGGCATGACTGCCTTTTAAAGGGTATGGATGGATGATGCTCTTATCTGTTACTTAGTTCAACCCTGAAGGAGGTGACAGCTGTAGGCTGTCTGCAGCCTGCATTTCCCACAGAGAATCAGAGTCCTTCCTGGAAGGAAAGTCTGGCTGGTTCATCTCCAAATCCATGGTAAGTGCTGCATTACTTGTAGTACAAAATAGTAATTTATTCTTCAGTGTATGTAGTTTCCTTCCTCCCAGGACCTCAAGATAAAACATACATAGCTGTCTAACTACTAAATGTTCGTCAGCTAGGACAATAAAGGAGGGTTAAGAGGAAAAAGACTGGAAGGAGTGACCAAGTACAAGAACAACAGAGAAGAAAACACAAATGAGAGAGAAGCTCCGAGGGGCTGGGGAAAGCTAATTCTAATGTAGTACAAACAGTGAAGGTATTCAGTTCTGGGCCTCAGTTTTGACAGTATTTCAATGAGCACATCTTTTAAAACATTTTAAAAATAGCATTGTGATAATTAAAGTGTTTCTTTTTTCCTCAACAGATATGGAAAACAGAAATAAGAGAGAGCGCCCATTCATGAAAATTCAGAGAAATGCTAGCTCAGGTATCTTTTCTACATGCAACTCTGTTTTATGACTGATAGTGCATTGTGCGGTTTGAAAATGAAATAATGTTGGAATGCTGATTTCCAAAATTTTAATAAAGAAAAGTTCATTTTATGGTTACATTGAGTGGTTACACTGAGTGGTCCCTTCTAGTGGGTCTGCTTTAATCTTTAACAATGGCCAGGACAATCTTGCTTCCTTCACTGGGCTTCTTCTGTAGTTATTTGGAAGATTCTTACAGTTATGTGATCCATGATTTCTTTAATAAATCCTAATTACTTTGTGTAGCACAGATTAGTTATTCATATAATTGAGACTAAAGTACATGTTTTGCTTGAATTACTCAGGTTATTACATTTTACGTACACTAGTCCTTAGTGTATCTTCTACCTATGTTTCACTTTATCAGTAAGGTTAATATCATACTAAACTATGACGCTGGGTACATTTGGGAGGAGAATACCCATATAGTCTACATAATTATATTCTTGTTTTACCTATTTTATATTTAGCTTTCAGTTTTAACCTTTTATCAAATTTAATTATTTTGATTTATCTAAGCTAGAAGAGCAACAATAATTTAAGAATCTATTTGTGTAATTTGATTACTGAAGATGTGGTACTTAAATATTCACAGTTGATACCTAACACATTTTAAATAAAAATAATGGCTTAGCAGCGGTCATTGTTGGCATTATAGTTTTCTAAAATCCCCACTATATTAACTCCCATGGAATTATTTTCTCCCTGGTGTTTTAGAAGTCATGTTATGCAAGGAAGATAGTGGCAGTATTGGAAGAGCTTCTAGAAATAGAGGTTAAAATATATTATGAACATTGTAAAAGAGTACATCTTCTATGCTTAAAAAATTTAGCAATAAGATATGAAGGAAATATTTTCCAATTAACTATATTTGAGTTCCAGTAACATGATACTATTTCTTTCTCATTTTTCTTTACTTATGATGAATAGATAATCTGGTATTCTGCATGAAAAGTGGGATGAGCAGAATCAAGTACAAGCCAGCGGACTACCAACAGTTACGTGCGTTAACCGAAGCCAAGAAATTAGCTTCTGCTTCTTTAGAGCAAAAGGTTGGAAGCTGTGTGTCTGTACAGTGTTTTTTCCTAGTTTTGGGAAATGGAATTTCGAGGAAGCATATGAATATTTACATTACACATGCGAAAAGAAATGGCTGTCTAAATGGCTCTTAGACTCTCCCAACTATTAATAATAGTGAACAGCAGCTAGCGCTTACTGAATGTTCTCAGACTCTGTTCTATAATTTGCATGCAGTATTCATTTAATTTGTATAACACCTCTATGAGGCTTAAATTTAACTTTGTTTCTGAAAAGGTGGTTATTTTCAATAATTTACACCTTGATCTAAAAAATAAAAACCGCTAAAGAGTGCCAGTCATGGATTATTATCTGACTTAAGGCTCTTCAACCCGGGGTAAAAGTACCCTTAGTTTCTCTCTATTCGGGAATTTTCTTCATTGCTGAAACACATATCCTATGCCAAGGAAAGGTCACCTTGGGACTTGTTCAAATAATACAGTTTATTAAAAGTGGCATTTTTCATTGTTTCCTTGTATAGAAAAACTGTTTTAGTGAAGCAATACATTAATTTACAAGTTTTCATTTTTATTTAAAATGCTCATATTTTGTGAGTTTTGCATGGCTTTTCATTGTTATCTTTTTTATTTTTGACTTTTTATTACCACATGTTTGTAGCACATGCAGTTTACAGTCATCTTTGTGAGTGGTTACATATACATGCAATTATTATCATTTTTAATGATTTATGATCCAAAGTACATTTGATATCCTATTTTAGAGAAATTATCATATACCTATAAGTTATATCCCTTTAAACTAATTTGAAAAGTAGGTTATTATTTGTTTCAGATTTATCTGTAACATAACTTCATGTTATGAAAACACCCAAAGAAATTTCATAGAAAAAAGTCACAGAACTGTCACCCTAGTAAAACTGTGTGCATACCTATGACTTATTCTCATCCTTTGTACACTAGTGTGCAAATACATACATATATAATTATAAACACTTACTACAGATCCTATTTTCTGCCATGATAAGCACAAATGTGAATCCTATTTACATTTCTCTTTAACCTTTTATATTATTTTATATTATTTTTATATGATATTTGATAGCTCCAGTCAAATTTTAATCATGTGCTTACCATTAGTCTTGAAGATACAATGGTGAACAAAATGTAACCCTTAGCTCCATGTAATTTACTATTTTCTGAGAAAATAAAAGGTGTCAATATTTATTAAATAAATCTGGAAATAAACTATATTAAGTATAAACTGTAATAAAACATAATTTTTGTGTGATTGTAAATTAACAGGACACAGTCCTGACTGTGTGTGTAGGAAAGGCCTTTCTGGGGCAGTAGCATTGAAATCAAAATCTGAAGGCTAATAAAAATTAACTAAGCAAAAACTGGAGTGATAAATATTATACTGCACTCCAAATAGAAAAAGGTGCATGCATTATTACACTTTGATTTATTTGGGTTTACCCAATTTGGTGAGGTTGGAAATCCTACTATGGTAAAATTCCTCATGCACACAAACATTTCCATATTTTAAAATTCAGGGAAAGAAATATGAAATATTTTAGTGTTTTTAAGACTTATTACTATATTTCTCTCTCAAGGGATTGTTTCAATAAAAGATGCCAACACAAGCATATCTTCTACACATTGTCAATATTGGAACATGTACATAAATACTGCTAATATTATCCATGCATTCATCTGAGATATCCTAAAAAAGATATCCTAAGATGGCCTTAAACTCATGGAGATCCTCCTGTCTCAGCTTCCTGAGTGCTGGGATTACAGGTGTGTACCACCACACCATGCTGTTTTAAAGTATTTTTGTACTGTCTCTTTTTCTCTGCTTTTAGATAAGTGAGAATCAAATATGTCCTGGGTATTGCATAATAGCATTTTCTTTTTTTTCTTCATTCAGTTTAAATTATATGTGGATTAAGAAATATGTTCAGGAATGTGCTTTTGGAGTTTTCCCTTCTCATTTAATTTGTAGGTGGCAGTGGACATTTTGCTTGTAATTTATTTTGTAAGATGTGAACAATTCCTAAATAGAACATTTTTTTCAAAGACTCATTGTTTAAATGGAATTAAATAAAGCTCCTAAGTTTATTGTTAAAGTATCATGGATGCTAATATACCAAACAGTCTATCCTACCTGCACTATTGTTATAACATGAACGTTGTTATTTTACTTATATTATTATAAATTTTACTAAAATATGTGTTGGCTAAAAAAGAATGTGTGATTCTTCCTAATATCACATAGCTAACACATCGTCTCTTAATATTTGTATTAATTATCACTATTTTCCTATTTATTTTGCTATTTAAATGTGCTAATTTTTCTACACATAAAATTAACAGTTTTAAGAATCATTGTTAGTTATTGCAGGGCTTTCTTCTGGCAATATTAAATATATTTAAACTGACTGAAAGGGTATTAACATTTAAGATAAGGAGAGTGTTACTCCGAATTACTACTTAGAATAAATAGCTGCTTGCCTTCTATTACTAGTACTATTGTGCTCATGCGGTGTGATGATCATCTATATACTCACTGGGTCATTGATCATGATCGATTTCTGGATGCCAGATGGGACACCAAAGTGGACACTGAGTCTTTCAAATCCTGAGGTTGAATGTGGAGACATGTAGCAGATCTGGGCTGAAAGTTGAAGCCACTTTTTGGTACATTGCAGATAACTGTGGATGAAAATACTAACGTGACTGTATGGTAAAAGCCGTATCAGAAAGGAAGACCTCTGAAATCAAGCAATGTTGCTTACCACCAGCTCTAAGCCCCTTCAGAGGCCCCTTCCAAAAATGCCAACATTAAGAACTGGCTTATTTTTTGAGTCCTTTTCTAGACTACAAAAATTCATCTTTATTCCCAACTTATTAAATATAAAAGGAATATTTACAATTATTTTTATTTCAATTTTCTTGCTTGTCAAGATGAATATTTCTTCTTGTCTAACTCAGGTATTAGCTACTAATTCTTTGTTAAAACCTCATACAATGGAAAATTGTAAACATGAAAACTTCATTTGAATGGGATAATCAATCTCTATGTAACATCATCCAGCTTCAACTTTTGGTCATGGTTCCATTGTTCCAATCCCATCCATAAACTTCCCTCTGTATTAAATTGTTCTCAAGCAAATCTTCAACATGATCATAATTCATCCATAAGTATTTCAGCATGTAACTCTAAAATATTAGAACTCAAAAGCCCTATTATTCTGTTACCTTATCTAATGTCATCAGTGTTAAATTTCCCTGAAATTTTTACGAGTTTATATCAGCATCTAAATAAGATCCATATGTTGTAGTAAGTTTTATTTGTTAGATTTCATCTTTCATCTTCTTGCGCTTTTATAATTTAGTTTTTGAATAAATTGCATTATTTATCCTTTATATGGTAGTTCTCTCTTTAAATTTTTTTTTTTTTGTGGTACTGGGGTTCAAACTCACAACCTTGTGCTTGCCAGGCAGGCACTTATGCCACTGAGCTGTATCCCCAGCCCCTCTTTAAAAATTTTTATTGGTACATATTTGTAGTGCATGATGTTTTACATTCATCTTAGGAAGTAGGTACATGTACTTAGCATATCTTGATTCATTTTACCCCACTTTCTCTCTTATCCCCACCCGATGTCTAGACCCCCTTTTCCCGGCTTCATTTTAATTCATGTTTGCAGCACATAATGATGACATATATTGTGGGTTGTTGGAATGTATACATCACACATCTTAATTCTTTTTTACATACATATTTGCAGTGCATAATATTTATTTTCTTTTTGTGGAGTTGGTACATGTACATAATACATCTTTTTTAAAAACTGAAGTGATTTTTCATTTTATTTTAAAGAGAAAAAAACAGTAACAAAATAACAACAATGAAGACAAAAACAAAATCATACAAAAACAATAAAAGTGATATAGGATTTCAAAACAAGATGACAGGAATTAATGATGGTTATTGTATTACATATTATTATCTTCAATGAAGTTGCTCAGATTACCAGATGTAAGAATGCAAGATTGATCAAACAATTAAAGATAATAATAAGTAATAAAAAATTAGAAATGATATAGGGCTTAGTTAAACAAGATGGTAGGAATTCAGCAATGGTTGTTATATTGCATATTGCTGTCTTCAAATTAGTTGTTCAGATTACCAGATATAAGCTTGCAAAACTGGTCAAGAAAAAAAATTTAAGCATTAACTGTTCCTTAAAAATTAATGTTATTGGTACAGTTTAGATATACATAATGATCACATTCATCATAGGGAATTTGTACCTGTACATGATATATCTTGATTCTCCTTTTACCCTAACCCCCACCCCTCTCTGCCCCTCCTACTTACAAGATCTTTGTTTCCATTTTTTCCCTTCTATTCTCTTTTTATTCTTTTCCCTTCCTCCCTTGTCCCTTCTCCCCTCTCCTGTTCCCCTTCCCATTGGAACATTTTCCAATCTCTGTTTTACATTTTGGTTCATATTTACCCTTTCAGTTTCTCACACCACCCCAACAATGTGACATTTAAACGTGTGTCCAATTTATTTCACCTAAGAATATGGTCTCAAGGTGCATCCATTTACCTAGAACTGTCTCAGGTTTACCCTTCTTTATGGCAGAGTAGTGCACCATTGTTTTTTTAAAAACCAGATCATCCTTATCCATTCACTGGTTGATGGGCATCTGAGCTGTTTCCAAGACCTAGCTATTACAAATTGTGCTGCTATAAATATGAGTGTGCATATATCTCTGTGGTATGATACTTTTAATTCCTTTGGGAAGATACTAAGAAGGGGAATAGTTAGGCCAAATGAGACCTCTTAGTTTTAGTTTTTTGAGGAATCTTTACACTGATTTCCACAGTGTTTGTACCAGTCAGCACTCCCACCAACAGTGGAGAAGGGTTGCTTTTTTCCTCACAGCCCCACCAACATTTGTTATTGATTGACTTCTGATAATAGCCATTCTTTCTGGGT